CCCCCCCGCAGGTGGCCTTCGAGAAGGACGGGGTTTTCCTGCACACCAGCGCCAAGCGCCACCCGGATCAGGACTCGCTCATCCCCGGGGTCATCCGCATCCTCGAGAAGGTACCGGGGGGGCTGCGGGTCGGGAGTGAGGGGCACCGTGGGGCTGGGGGCTGGGCTGGCGGGGGGCTGCGGGTCGGGAGTGAGGGGCACCGTGGGGCTGGGCTGGCGGGGGGCTGCGGGTCGGGACTGAGGGGCACCGTGGGGCTGGGCTGGCAGGGGGCTGTGGGTCGGGAGTGAGGGGCACCGGCAGAGCTCTGACTGCCCCCTGCCCGCAGGGCTCAGACCACCTGCTGCAGTGGACGCCCCTGGAGGAAGGTGGTGATGCTGCCCAGATTGTTTTCTCCAAAAAGGTGAGCGCCTCCCCCCCCCCGAATCCCTCCAGTGCCCCCTCCCCAGCCCCTCTAACCCCCCCGTCTGCCCTGCAGGAGCCCCCGGGCGCGGCCGAGGAGGAGCCTTTCGATCCGGGCTACGAGCCCGACTGGGCCGTGATCAGCACCGTGAGGCCCCGGCCGCAGGAGGAGCCCCCGGGTAACGGCTGTGGGGACGGTGGGGCAGGATTGGGGGTGGGAGGGGTGAAGCCTGGCTCGTGGGATCTCGGGGTGCAGCAGGGGCCCGAGAGGGTTGGAGGTCGGGGTATTGGCGGGGCAGCCCTGGGGGGTGCAGCTGGGGGGTGGGGAGGCGGTGGGGGGGCCCAGCAGGTGGGTCATGGAGGGGCAGGGCTGGGGGGCAGGCTGGGTGCCCTAACCCCCCCATCGCTCTGCCCCACAGGCTCCGTGCCCCCGCCCGGCCCCCGGGCACAGTGGGCCTTCACGCTCAGCCTCTCCGAGCTGCAATCCATCCGCCGGGGCCGGCCGGGGCTGGGCTGGTCCTACCTCATCTTCATCAGCCGGGAGAGCGGGTCCCTGCCCGCCCTCCACTTCCACCGCGGCGGCAGCAAGGCCCTGCTGCGGGCGCTCTGCAAGTACCTCATCCTGGCCATGTGAGCGGGGGCGGGGCAGTGGGGGGAGAAGCTTGTGAACTGGGGCACTGTCCTGGGGAGCAGGGCACTGCTGGGGGCAGCTCGCAGCAGGGATGGGGGAGTGGGGCACTGCCCTGGGTCCAGATTGGGGGGCCCAGGTGGGGGAGCCGGCGGCATGAGGCTGGGGGGTCCCCAGGCAGGAAGAGCTGGTGCGGGGCGCGCTGGGTGAGGTGGGCCCGGAGGGCAGGGGACAGTTAGTCGGGGGTTGGGGGGCACGTGCCAATGCTGGGGTAACTGAGGAAGCTGATGCTGCCTCCCCCCGGCAGCTCCCCCAAGGACTCCCGGCTCTACCTGGTCTACAGCCACGACTCGTACGCGCTGTCACACGCCTTCGACCAGCTGCAGCTGTTCGATGAGAACTCCTCCAACCTGGTGTCGGTGAGTTCCCCAGGCCCCCCACGGCCTGGCTCAGGCACGGGCCCCACCCCACTCATGACACGGGGGAGGGATGTAGAGGTGGGGGGGGGTCTGGGAACGAGGATGAGGTACCATCCCTGTGTCACGGAGTGTGGGGGAGTCGGGGCCCCGCACCCCCCACTTCCTGCGATGCACCGGGACTCTCCGCCGGCCGGTAACACAGACGGTTTATTAGCCGACAGGAACAGCCCAAACCAGAGCTTGTGGGTACAGAGACCAGGACCCCTCAGTCCGGTCCCTCTTGGGGGGTGGGGAGCCCAGACCCCGGTTCTGGGCCTCCCCACATTTCCCCAGCCGGCTCCAAACGGAAACTCCCTCCATCCCCAGCTAGTATCGGTGCCGACAGTAAACGAGTGAAACTCCCCCGCAACGTTCCCAGGTTAATGCTCCCTACTCCGTCACATCTTGGCTCTGGGAAGAGTGGGGGCCTGGGAGCCAGGACTCCTGGGTTCTCTCCTGGCTCTGGGGGTTCCCATCCAAGAGTGACTCTCTCTCCCCCCCCAGCGTTTCCTGCAGGACCCCTACACGGCCACTTTCGGGGGCTTCTCCAAAGTCACCAGCTTTTTCCGCGGGGCCCTGCACCATGAGGCTGGCGCCCCCCTGCGGCCCCCAGGCGCCGCCGCCGCTAGCCTGGAGGATGAGCCAGGCTTCGAGGTCATCACCTGCGTGAGTGTCCCCAGCCAATCCAGGCGCACCCCAGAGGCACCAGCCAATCGCGTCTCTTTGTGTGGTGCAGTTGGAGCAACAGCCAGTCGGGTCCCTCACACGTATAGGGCGTGGCTGGTTAGGGGGGTGGAGCCAGCCATGCAGGCGGGGTGTGGGTGGCAGGGGGCGGAGCTGGCCTCACGGGGGTGGGGGGTGGGTGGCAGTGGGTGGAGCTGGTGACACAGTAAGGGTGGAGCGTGGGTGGCAGGGGGCGGAACAGGCCTAGTGGGGGGAGCGGGGTGTGGGGGGCAGGGGGCAGGGCTGGCCTAATGGGGTGAGCGGGCTGTGGGTGAAGGAGGCGGAGCTGGGCTTGAGAGGGGTGGGAATGGTGTGCGCTGGGGGTGCCTTTCCCGCCTGCCCCGTGACCCCCTTCCGCCCGCAGCAGGTGCAGCTGGGGCCGCGGCCGGCCGTGTGCCGGGAGGCCCCGGTGACGGAGCAGGAGTGGGGGCAGCACCTGGACCCCGAAGGGCGCATCACCCACCTGGACGGGCTCAAGAGGAGGATCTTTGCTGGGGTGAGGGCAGGGCCTGTGGGGTAGGTGCGGGGGGCGGGCCTCTGGGAGACAGCTGTGCTTGGGAGCTGGGGGCCTAGAGAGAGGGGGCCCAGGCTGGGCGGAGGGGCTAATGGAGAGGGGGCCTGGCTGGGGGGCACGGTGGGGCTGGAGGAGAGGCCTGTGTTTGAGAGCTGGAGGCGGGACTGGGCTGGAGGAGAGGGCTCAGCTAGACACTGGGGGGGGGTGGGGCCCTGGGGGGGGCGGGGCGAGTCTGGAGGAGGGTGTGGGGCTGCAGGGTGTGGGCGGGGTAGAGGCGGGGCCCTGGCAGTGGGCGGGGCTGGAGGAGGGGGCTCTGTGGGGGGAGGAGGTTGGAGCTGGTCCGGGCTCCGTGTCCATCACTCATGGGGGGGATCCCAGGACTCTGCCCCCCGGGTCTCACTGCAGCCCCCCCCATCCCAGGGCCTCACCCCAGCGCTGCGCAAGGAAGCCTGGAAGTTCCTGCTGGGCTACTACAGTTGGGAGAGCAGCAGCGAGGAGAACCGGGCGCAGGCCCGGCGCCGAACGTGAGTGTCCCCCCGGGGCTGCGGGGCGGGAGGGAGGGGCACCGGCAGAGCTGGGCAGGGGAGGGGCTGGGCTGGCAGGCGCTGGGGGTCGGGAGGGAGGGGCGCTGGGGGGCCACAGAGCTGGGCTAGCGGGCACTGGGGGTCGGGAGGGAGGGGCAGCCCCTCACCCCGTGCTCCCCCTGCCCCAGGGACGAGTATTTCCGCATGAAGCTGCAGTGGAAGTCGGTGAGCGAGGAACAGGAACGGCGGAACTCCCTGCTGCGCGGCTACCGCAGCCTCATCGGTCAGTGCCCCCCCCTCCCGTCCCCGCCCTGGCGACCCCCCAGAGTGAGCCCCTGTGACCCGGTGCCTGGAGGGGCCACCCTGAAAAGGCCACGCTCGGGACAGATGCCCCCCCCAAACTCAGGGCAGACGCCCCCCCCACACCCGTAACCAGGGAGCATCTGCAGCTAGTTCCCCCCCAAGCCAACCCCAGCCCCGTTCAGGCGTCCCAGCGAGAGCTTTGTGAAATCCGGTTCACCATTCTTGTGCGCACCCAGGCACGTGCGCACGCCTGTTCCCTGCGCTGGGAGCCGTGCAGCGCGCCGAGAGAAACCGAGGCACGCGCTGGCTTTGGGAAAGTATTACAGGAAAGTCCCCCTTCCCCCCCCCCAGAGCCCCCCAGCCGTGTAACCCCCCCC